TTAGTATTGTAGTTATTTTGTTTATAATTTGTAGTTTGTAAGTAAGAATTAGCTTTAAAACTTTCTATTTTATTTGTAATATTATTATTTTTGTTTTCTTGCAATGTTTCCAATAAATCTGCTCTGTTACTTAAAAACTGTATAAATATATCTAATGAAGGAAAATTAGTTAATGTATTTCTATGCTCCTCCCATTGCCTATGAGTTATTGAATCCAGTTTTTCTGCCATCATATGGATGATGAGTGTGTCCCAATGCTGGGTAGGCTGACCCAAAGTGGACAACGCTCTAAGATTTTTATTTGTTAAATCTATAAGATGACGAATTCCTGTACAAGACTCAGTCTGTAAGTGCTTGACGTTAAACAAGGCCTGGACGTGGTTATTTACGAGCAGCCTTTTGTTATCAAACCTATCGCAAACTAACTTCCAGGCAGACTCGTAATTGTCTGCACGTACATCTAAATTATCAATAACAAGAGAAGCACTACCTTTCAAAGATGCACGAAGATAATGTAGTTTATTGATGTTATCTATGTCGGTTCTGGAATGAATTAATGATATGAAAGTATCCCTAAATTCGAGCCAGTGTTGATAGTTCCCGTGAAAAACTGGCAATTCAATCTTTGGCAATCTCACGCAATTAGATTTAAAGTTACTGGCCTGTTCATCATTGTCACTCGCCACGGCTCCTCCCTGGAGCCCGCGATGCTGGCGCGGGCGAGCGCCCAGCAGGACGCGCGCCTCTGCCACCAGCTTGTAGTACGTGTCTTCGAACTGCTCACGCTCCCGGCACTCGTCATCTTGGTCTTCCGATAACTCCTCGATGTTGCACTGTAACGCATCATATTTGGCGTATAAGTTTTCAAATTTTTGCAAACGACTTTCTAAATCCACTAACTGCAAGTTTCCTGGTTCATCAGAACTTTTAAGCAATTTTAAATCTATATATATAAAAATGAAACCCGTTTCGCGTTGTCACGGCATCACGTGTGAACGGCTGAACCGATTTCGATAATTCTTTTTTTTTAATGTTTGTGGAAGTCCAAGGATGGTTCTTACGGAAAAAAATATTAAGAAAATCTCTACGCTAAGGCGGTACGAAGTTCGCCGGGTCAGCTAGTAATTACTAAAGATCGTCAGCTTAGCTTTCATACAACTACGTTTCTTAATTAATTTGTCGTCAGCCATTATGAATGAAAAGAAAGATGAATGGAAGACGGAAGTTGTAAAATTATCAATAAAATGCAATGAATGGAAAGGTAATAAAACAGGTGCAGCGAGCTAATGACCCGGCAGCGAGCGTTAACAAAAGAACAGCTGTGCGATCGTAGATAAGGACGGCCGAGCGGCCCGCTCCGTTATCTTAATAGCCTACAAGCAAAGGAAAAAAATGCGTATGAAGACGAAATGTAAATACACTGCGTTAATAAGTGAAATGATTGATTTTATTTAATGTAACTAATTATAATTGTGATTTTAATGATTAAATGTGGTGATTACTATTAATATGAACTAGCGTGAAGCGCGAAAGATTGCTATAAAGAGAAGAAAAGGCAAAATTTAAATAATTTGGGAAGCACTCGCTCAATTTTAGCAATTTAAACGCTGTGAAAAAGAGGGATAATTAAGGAAAAAATTGGAACGACTCACGTATCTTCTATAAACCTTCCAACAAATCCTTGGCACAGGTCACAATGATAATGACTGTGCGATATTGATGACACGACGACTCGAATATGTGGCGGGTCCAAAGTCCGTCGCGCGCTGTCCTCCAAATGACCTGCGTATGGCGCGTGCGGTGCTTGCGTAGTATCCTTGCGGGAATAGTGAAGGCTCCCGCAGGTATCTAGCGTAGCTGAAGTCCACACTGAAGAGCTCCAAATTGAAGGGTCTTGAATTTTGAAGGAATTCTTGAAGTGTGGACAACGCTCTAAGATTTTTATTTGTTAAATCTATAAGATGACGAATTCCTGTACAAGACTCAGTCTGTAAGTGCTTGACGTTAAATAAGGCCTGGACGTGGTTATTTACGAGCAGTCTTTTGTTATCAAACCTATCGCAAACTAACTTCCAGGCAGACTCGTAATTGTCTGCACGTACATCCAAATTATCAATGACAAGAGAAGCACTACCTTTCAAAGATGCACGAAGATAATGGAGTTTATTGATGTTATCTATGTCGGTTCTGGAATGAATTAATGATATGAAAGTATCCCTAAATTCGAGCCAGTGTTGATAGTTCCCGTGAAAAACTGGCAATTCAATCTTTGGCAATCTCACGCAATTAGATTTAAAGCTACTGGCCTGTTCATCATTGTCACTCGCCACGGCTCCTCCCTGGAGCCCGCGATGCTGGCGCGGGCGAGCGCCCAGCAGGACGCGCGCCTCTGCCACCAGCTTGTAGTACGTGTCTTCGAACTGCTCACGCTCCCGGCACTCGTCATCTTGATCTTCCGATAACTCCTCGATGTTGCACTGTAACGCATCATATTTGGCGTATAAGCTTTCAAATTTTTGCAAACGACTTTCTAAATCCACTAACTGCAAGTTTCCTGGTTCATCAGAACTTTTAAGCAACCTTAAATAATTACTAAAGATCGTCAGCTTAGCTTTCATACAACTACGTTTCTTAATTAATTTGTCGTCAGCCATTATGAATGAAAAGAAAGATGAATGAAAGACGGAAGTTGTAAAATTATCAATAAAATGCAATGAATGGAAAGGTAATAAAACAGGTGCAGCGAGCTAATGACCCGGCAGCGAGCGTTAACAAAAGAACAGCTGTGCGATCGTAGATAAGGACGGCCGAGCGGCCCGCTCCGTTATCTTAATAGCCTACAAGCAAAGGAAAAAAATGCGTATGAAGACGAAATGTAAATACACTGCGTTTATAAGTGAAATGATTGATTTTATTTAATGTAACTAATTATAATTGTGATTTTAATGATTAAATGTGGTGATTACTATTAATATGAACTAGCGTGAAGCGCGAAAGATTGCTATAAAGAGAAGAAAAGGCAAAATTTAAATAATTTGGGAAGCACTCGCTCAATTTTAGCAATTTAAACGCTGTGAAAAAGAGGGATAATTAAGGAAAAAATTGGAACGACTCACGTATCTTCTATAAACCTTCCAACAAATCCTTGGCAC